TTGGAGCCGAATCGTATTTGTCGTGGGTGTGTCATCGGCGTGCTCGGGAGGTCCCCAATGACGTCCCCGGGGGCCCGACCAGGACCACATCGGCACTACCAGATTTGGACTCAGCGTGCGATAAAACCCACAAACACGATATTTCAGTCAGTCGTCCTGGTCTTTCCGAGGTTGACGGTCGGTCGGTCGGTCGGCCAAACCGTATCTTACTTTGACATGCCCAAGGCTCACGGGGACCTAACAGGCATCTCCGAAGACCTTTCGAGGAGCTTTACAGGGACCTTCATGGACATTTCAGGGACCATGTATTTGTTTGTTTTCGAAATGTATGTGGTGTTTTATACTGTCGTAATCTGAGACAAGGCTAACGACAACGCCTGCCGCGCGTCGGATGGGCCCTCCCGCCAAGTGTCTGTGTGGATATGGTGGCCTACCCTCAGCGCCTGTCGTCCGATTCAGAAGATCGTTCAAGATGGGCTCTCCTACCTCGCGTATAGCTCTGTACTTGTTGCACTCATGGGGCAGGTATGGGAGAGCCTTGAGCAGCGGCGATACCCCTGCTGCTAGCGCCCTGCTCTCGCCCCTCTCACGCGCCATGCAACGAGACTACCACGTGCCACGTTTGTTTGTTTGTTTGTTTGATTTTCACTGTTTCTTTTCTTTATTAACGTTTCCTCGAATGAAGGCGCGGCGGATGGCGGGGTGGCCGCCTGCATTGTGGCCACAAATGGGGGTGTCCCAGCCAGTTCAGTTCAGCCAGGAAAAATGTAAAAGCAATAAAATTGTAAATTGTTGTCTTAAGAAACTCTTTTTATTGCGGTTTCCAAAACATGTGGAACAGGAATAACACTGTGATGTACGAACAACTTGAGAGAAGTCTGAGAGTGAGCAGCACTGGGGACGAAGATGTTAATTGATTGGGTAGAAGGAATCGTTTGACCATCTCTTTCTTTTGCCTAAAATGAATGAATTGAATGAAATGGTTAAACACAGTGATGTTACGTAATCAATTCTGTGCACTCAACACAAAGTATGCAGATCTATACACTCACGAGAGAACCAACAGATTTTATGTACAAAAGCTACAACTCTCATTTAGCTAGTTATTCTTGGGCAAGTAGTTTCATATCACATTAAAAGAGGTGGGATATGTTGCAAATGGTACTCTTCATTCAACAAATACCACACTTCAATGAACAAATGGGATGTCGTATAAATCATAATATGACTGACAATACAACCAACAGTGTAATGCAACTGCATAATAAACTTATCATAATAATCTTTACCATCGAAGTTAATTAAAAACATCACAGTTCATAAGTTGCCTCGGTCTCTTCTATAGAACAACAATAATACAACAACTGGACGAAATCTATACACTGCAATACATAACATGCAAGTCTGATAACACTGAGTAGTTCTTAAACAGCATAAACTGCAGTTCAGTAAATATTAATTTACCTAAGAAACAATGCCATTGGCAGTATTTAAAAATATGATTATGCTTCATCCATCATGAATTACTATTTGTCACTTGATCTACAAATTTAGAATATATGGAGTATGTTATACTAAATAATGACCAACAAATTTCAAATTGCATTTCACGTGTCTTCAATTAAATAGTGGTTAGGATATACCATGCAAAACAATGAGGGGAACTACAACCCTCTAAACACAGTATAGTATATCAACAACACTCTGTTACAAATAAATACTCATGGCCACAATTTCCCAAGTCTCTCCAAGATGTTACGACTCTTCACAATATGAGACACAATTTCTTTGCCATAGAAAACGAGCAAAACAGAACCAACTTTGAGTGGGTGCTCATTTTAAATTTATGTTCATGTATGTAACCCATTTTAAAAACTTGTCAATAATAAAATGGTAATTAAAAAAGGCAAAACCAAATATTTGATACAATTTATGGACTGAACCAAGACAAGATTTCATATGGCACTCCATTAAAAAGAATATTTTAGATTACACTGAATTACACAATCCTATGAAAGGAAAATCAAACTAGTACTTCCATAAATGTCACTTTAAAAACAAAAGCATCTAACCAATGACATTCTAAGACAGCATCATCATTCATTTTCAGCAGCCATTTCCAAAATGCCATATTGTCCTCAATTAATATTAGAATGAACACGAGAAATATTCAGCGTCTGAAAATTCAACACTGTAGTGCCAACTTTCTTTGTAAAATGGCACACTTTACAGGTTCATATTGTCTACTGTACATTTCCAATTACAGGAATGGTCCCAATGTGAAGCAGCTCATCATTACATCCTGACTCAGACACACCACAATCTCCAAAGCAACCAGAAGAACTTGGGAAAAGCTTTGTTAAAACAAAAGTGCACCAAACAAAATATACAGAATAATTGAAGTAAGCATTGCTACACTACTACCTGCTGTGTTTCTTAATTATAGTTAATAAAAGCAGCATCAACATCACAGGCAGATCCAGAACCCAGCAGGACAGTGAGGAGAGGGGTGCTATCAGCTCACTTATAGGAGCAAAGTAGCGATTTCTACCTATCTAGCAGGCTTATTGTCCAGAGTATAAGGGAAGGCGTTCCCTTCTCCCCTGGATCTGCGCCTGATCAATATAATATCAATGTACATTAGCTTGAACTTTAAATCACACAAAGGAATCAAGTATACAACTTCAGTGCACAATCTTTTGTGCCATTTTAATAATACTTCAAAGATGTCTGCAGAATAGTTCACTCTGCTGTCCTAAGTACTAAAAGGTTAATCTGATTCATACACATTTACACATGTCCAACTAAAAAATCTTAATAAGAAATACAGAGGAGAAACTACAACACTACATTATACCTGATCTTACACTTCAATCTTAATATCTTCAGACCTCTTAAAAAATAAATAAATAGATTGATAGACAGGCAACTATAAGTCTAGATAGAATTTTCAGGTACCCTAAAATTAAAGAGAAAGTAGCAAAAATTAAGCTCAGAAAGAGAACAGCATAAAACTAGATAGTAAGCTAGTGAGAATCAAAAAAGGGTGCAGTATGCTTAACAACAAATTAGCAGATCAAAATAATCAACAAAAATTTAAAATTCATGGTTCAAATTGTAAGCCGGAGTGAAGAAGCACTCATATCCTTTAAAAATGGTTTCACATTAAGAAAAATATGATAGAATATTGAATATTATAGGAAACTATAAAAATCACAGGGACAAATCCAGTACAGTCAAGAGTACTGGTACTAGAAAAATCAATAAGTTAGTCTAAAACACACACACACAAAAAAAAACAAAAACAAAAAAAACACACACACATAAAAGGTTACAAAGAGAGCTTACAAGGCATAAGACTGGGTGATGATTTTAAAGTGCCTGCACTGGTTGTTCAAACATAGGTTTAGCTCATGTCATGGTCAAACTAAAACTTACTCACATAGGATATTTAAGAACAAGAAAAAATTAGCTATGATGAATAAAACAGAAAATCAAAATCTTGGACATGGGGTGAAAACACAATGATAACAGGTATTAGTGAGCAAAACAACAGTCTAAGTGTGGTGGGGTGAAAATAGAACTAAGAACATCCCCCGCAGCTTCGGACCGATTTTCCCTCACTTAGTTGAACTGTTCCGGATTCGGCAGAATCTCCAAATGAATTACAGTCATGTCGTCGCTAAGGAACAAGAAATACGAAAAAGGCTATGACAAACATTTTTAAGTGCTGCATAAAAAAAAAAAGAAATGTGCTGACCTTTAATTCTGTTGCCAGGAACATGAATGCATCTTCTATATTCGTGTTCTCTTTGGCTGATGTTTCAAGTACCAGCATAATTTCAGGAAGATATTCACTCATTGCACTGGCTTCGTTGAATGTGACTTCTCGACCCGATTCAACATCGCATTTGTTACCTGCAATATATACTGAAGATGTTAACAACAATCCTGTGTTGAAATCCTTTAATTTATTTTTTATTTTTTTTAAATGCTTGTACTTACCAATCAGAACCAACATAACATTGGACGCAGTGTATCGGCGTACTTCTTCAATCCACCTTTCGAGGCTAAGGAATGAGGACCTTTTTGTGACATCGTATACTGGAAAATATTTGGGTTCACAGAATGTTAGTACAATGATAGGGCAGGTAAATTTCCAAAGCTCCCGGATAAGTTTGACCAAGAACTTACCAATTATTATACCGTTTGCAGACCTATAGTAACTTTGAGTGATTGTACGAAATCTTTCCTGGCCAGCCGTATCCCAGATTTGAAGCTGAAAAAGAAAATTAAAAGTGAACTGGAAAGTTGGTGTTAATTTCTTAAAATAAAAGCCACTTAATATTGTACTACAGTTAAATATCGTCTTCGACAATTACGGAAGCTAACCTACCTACACAAAGAGCTTACCTTAACCCTTTTACCATCCACAACGACAGTTTTCATAGAAAAGTCCACCCCGATAGTATTACCGTGTCTTTCTACGAAAGTACCTGACTTGAATCTTTGGACGATGCAGGTTTTTCCTGTCCCGCAATCGCCTATGAGTACAATTTTGAAGAGGAAGTCGAAAGCCTCATCCGCGGAGGACATAGCCTGCGTTGAGTTGCTCGACATATTACGGAATAAAGTAAGAGAGACAAATTAAAATTCATGGGGAAGTACGTCTATCGTTACACGAGTATGTTTTCAAATATGACCAGAGCGCGATATGGGAACATGTGAGGCAAATGTCGGCCAGTTGAACCAAAACATTGTCCAGCCAACAACTGTCACACCAAAGTGAGCCTCACAGAAATTTTGACAGCCTTATTGCAGTAAACATTGCACGTCGCGGCAGCCTTAGCGGATATACTACACTTCATGACTTATGACTGCCGTCTTGGTGTAGCGTGCATCATTTAGTGAAAGTGTGGAAAGACAGAGTACATGTGGGCAAACTTTATTGATTGGCTTTGCAAATAAAAACAAAAAGAAGGAACATGCCTGAGTGGTTGGGTAATTGAGGAAACAAAACGTGGCTGGATTTCAACAAATATATTTGCAGCTGAACATGTGGTACAAATATAAAGATTTGGTACAAATGTATGTAGAAAAAAAATGTTCAAGGTTTTAAAATCACATGAGTCACATAGAAATATATACTTGTATATAAAATGGCAAAAATAGAGAACATGACAAGCAGTCGACTTTGATCCGTAAAACCTTATCACACTGTATTAACTTTGCATTTGAATACCACACCACTAAATGTGGTCTTGGGAATGTTAGCTACATTCTCCTCATGAGTACCACATGAGGTTCAACAACAGGTATAATATTCATGCAAGTTTGATCTAAGCACAATAAAACACTAAACATAAAGACTTGGGGATAAGATAAGATACAAACAAAACAATTAAGTAAAACAAGAAAAATGCTAAATATAGTCTAATAATGTTTCTTTTTCTTTCTAGAATTGTTCTAATTCTGAGATCCAGAATACAAACTTAATTCAATTTAACTGAGTCAGGTAACAGACCTAATGAAATAGGCAGTACAGTCTGACTGAACACACAGGTGATTGAAAAATTCATTTAAAAAACATTAGCATGAAAAATTAACTATGAGAAAGCAAGAGATGTATTCATTAATCAAATGATGAATCAAAATTGTAAAGCAATAATCACACATAACATAACCGACATAAACTATGGCAAATATCTTAAGATAACAATATAAATCAAAATGTATAATGCTGATAGGTCAACAACGTGCACAAAGGCAGATTGAAGATTTGAAGAAATCACATGAATCAGAACACATCCGGTAGATTTTGTTCATAAGGATGAGATCAATATCATTGAATTAATTAAGTACAATAAGAATACATCAATGGCTGAATAGTAAGCAAGAGAGTACATTCCAAAACAGATAATCATCATAGATTGTAAAAAGATGGGGAGCATAAAGTGCAGGTAATGAGACAGATGTAAGAAGGAACAATTATCGTACGCACCTTCGCACCTTTCAACAAACAAACCAACAATAAAAAACACAGCAAAAAAGTACTGAAAATATTACCACTACATAAAATGAGACCTTGAAGGACTGTTTCAAGATGAGAGTGGAATGAGAGTGAAAGTGCAGAGGAGCACACTAGACAGAATAATAAAAAAAAAAGAACTCACAGATTGTTCATTAATATCACAACTTCTTACAAATAGTATCCTATAGACATAACTGCAATCTCCAGTGTGAGAAGTGAGAGACCAGAGCCAAGCAAGTTTAGCTTACTATACTACAAAACCTAGAAAAATTTAGTGGCCCAAGTTAAAAAGTTGCACTGCATTGTATGATGGAGGAATCAATAGTCACCAGACATTAAAACTGATACATAGAATATTTCATTTCACTACCTCAGATGTGATTCTCTTGTAGTGTATGTAATAAAATGAATAATCATAAGAAAAGAAAAACAGTGAAAACATATAAAGTAATAAAATGACAAATTAAAAAAAAAAGTATATCTACATAACAAAGTATGGAAATTTGAAGGGGTTACAAAAAGGAGACACCAAACAGAATGCAAACTTAATTGAGCAAAGAACAAGCAAAGGCCCATTTCAAATTAAAATATCTAGGATTGCAAACTAGACCACACACATTGCCTTGTCTGAAATTCAAATGAGATCACAGGAAAAGAAGCTCAAGTAGAGCTGAAAGACACTGGTCATATTGGCACAATGGCAGTGAACTATATAAAGTAAATCTTGAAGAGTTTTAGAAACTTTCAAGCTAATTTTCCATCACAACTCTCTAAGTTGTAGATCTCTATCCTCTTTTTTAAAACTTTTTTTTCTTTTTTTGTTTGTTTTGGTTTTTCATTGGTCTTACCTTACACTTCATACTAGTACAAAAAAATTAGTATTTGGGGCGCAAATGGACGTCCCTGATCAGCATAGAAACAATTGAGGGCACCTGCAGAAAGAAAAGATATAAAATTAGTTATGAGGAAAAAGGAAAAGTCAGAGATTTTATTTCCAATTGCAAAAGTAAACAGTACCTGCTTCTGTTCATGTTGCCAAGGTATCACGTCATTGAAGGACTGATAGTCCAGAGCCACTTTACGAGAAACATTGGTAAGCAATTTCAATAGATCTGTTTTAGCCGCATTTTTCTGCAACTCTTCACATAGGCATTGAATGAACCATGTGCCATCTTCTGGGTTACGCCAAGAGAAAAATCCTGCAAGGGCAAACAGATAGATTTCTTGTATAGGTAAGATTATTAAAGAGACTTTGAGCCTCCTGATAAAGCAGAGATTATTCAGACTTTGGTAACACAAAGTAATTGAACAAACCTTCAACAGAACTGTAAGCCATGAGGAAATCGGCATGCGTTGGAATTTTGTAAGATTCTACTGGTGTACCAGAGTCTGTCTCGGAACGGTGGCGGTGAGACACAAGAGTGACTCCAGAATCCAATCTCTCCCCTCGGCAGGCCTAAGTTGGATAGCAATACATGGATACAAATTAGATTTCACCAGGATAATAGGCTGGCCAGCCCATAAAAAAAGGTGGTGAGTATTGTAGTCACTAGTACCAACCTGGATAAAGAAGAGTTTGGGTTTGCCAGCAAGAGACAAGCATCGGTCAGCTGTGAATGGAGTCCAAAGTGTATCAATGCTATAGGGAATGTCTCTGGCAAGTAAGTAGTTGGTGCCCATTCCATGCGTGAGAACAGTGACGCACAGGCAGTCCGCATCAGAGAAGTCTTCGGCAGCCACTACAAAATGACAGTAGACATTCAAATTTAAAAAAAGAAACACACCAAGTACACTATGCAATATAGTATCTAAGACCCACTTACGTTTACTGATTTCAGCTTTAATCTCAGCATAATTCAGATTGTTGAATACAACAGACTGAAATCCAAGCCCATCATACGTTTGCACAAGATTTTTCACGTCAACCTCTGAACCAGAGCGTGAATTAATACCATCAATATTGAAGACATCATGGTTGAAAATGACAGCTTTCCCACGTCGAGGATGATTCATGTTGTATTCCTCCGAATCTTTCTCGACACTCATTTTGGCCTGAATACCGGGGGTCCTGCGTGCACATCACATCAAATGTTACGAGCTTGTTCTAAATTGACCGCAAAACAAAGATAAACACAACACAAAACAACAGTACTTACGTTGGAGGCACATTGTACGGCTGAGCATCAATCGTATCATTGGCAAGTCTGGCTTTGCCCACATTGATGGGCACGGGGGGCTGAGAATACACCAAGTAGTGGGGCGACATGGTGCTAGAGCTCCCATAGCCCTGGTCCACCAGCATGGACTGGGGCCTCCCCGCCGAGTTGAGCCCGTTCATGGCGAAGCTGTCCGAGCGCCTGGACGGCAGCGTGTCGTGCCGCTGCAGCAGCCCCACCGGGTCGCTCAGCCTGCGGCCCTCCATGGCCTCGATGGCGTCCATGAGGTGCTGGTGCACGGGGCTGTTGCCGATAGAGTCGATCACGTCAGAGACGCGACGCACGCGCGGCTGCAGCGGGGTCTTGTCGCGCAGCTCCACGCCCTCGTCGCCGTCCTGGTCATGGTCGTCCACAAACACCTCGTCGTCGAGGTCGTAATCCTCCCGGAGCTTGCGCGGCGGTCCGCAGTCTATGGGCGAGGACATGGTGTTGCGTCAGGCATCAGGGGGCGGCAGGCGGCCCAGGGTGACGACGGTCGCGGCTGTGACTGGAGACGGAGGAGGAGCACGGGGAGCGAGATGCGACGCAGAATCAGGAGCGCGACGCACACAAACACACACAAGCGCACGAGCGAAACGCACACGCACAATCTCGGATTTCACAAAGCACTGAGATAAAGTCTCAAGGCAAAAGCGCTAGGCTCGGCACTGGACACCGCAGTAGTGTCAGCCAGTCCGCTGCGTCAGCTGGTCCCTCCTTACTCAAGCACTAACGCGACTGAACCTGCAGCAACCTGCATCAATTCTTATTGTTTTCTTTATTAGTCATCACATAAACAGGATCGCTCCTCGTTTGTTTGCTTTTTGGCTTGTCTGGGGGTGCGTTCTACTGACGCCATGGCGGCGGCGGTGTTGTTTTGGTCAGATGTGGTCTAAAGAATATGTTGTTCCTTAAATCAATCTTGTCGTGATTTTGTAAGTGGGGAGAGAGAAGCAGACCCTATTTAAATCAAAGAATGATATTAAAGAAAAATACCGAGTGAAAACACTTGGAAAATGTGCATATACGCGTGGTTATAAACCTGCATACAGTCACGCAATGCTGATGTTTTTGTTTGGCGTCGTGATGTGTTCTTTTGAATTTCTAAATCAGAAAAGAAGTACACACAGTTTAATTTTTTTATTTGCTAAGACATATTACAATAATTATTATTTTAAAACAATAACAGTATTTTTCATTTACGATCGATATGATATGGTACAATTAAATGATCGCTACTATGAAATAATAAACATCTTTCCGCTATGGATATGTAACTATTGCGCGGGATATGATACCGGTACTCGGATATGCTCAACAGTGATAACATTTTAAAATAAAAACGATTTCCTGTGATAAGAAAAACAGACGAAGCTGGAGAGGGGAGTGTCTGGAGCGCACTGCACTTTGCACTTCCCCCCTGCCACGCGCCTCCGGACGCTACCCCGCGCCGCAGAGCCAGGGTGTAGCGCCGGCCTGCGTGCCACAGACGCGCGGGGTATAACCGTTGCGAGCTTGTGAAAATGAACCCCCAAACCCCCTCCCCCGTTCCCCACAAACAACAAAAATGCAATCGTCCGCAATAGGAGTGTGCAGCACGCTTCCATAGCCGCCGGGGCGCACGAGTCCGAGCGGATTCGGGACAGAACCGGAAGGGGGGCGGCTGCGGGAAGTGAAAGGGGGGAATGCCTTCACCGCCAGGGCCTGACCGCCTCGGCCCGCCCCGCCCCCGCACCCACCCCAACCACAGCCATGAGCAATGATGCAGGCCGGGCTGGGCGGCTGCAGGACGCGAACAGATGGCCGGCCGTGTTTTACTGACACGTAAAGCTTTCACGTAAAGCGTTCGACGCCGGGCACGACGGGGCAGGGGCAAAGGCAGACCGAGACCGCCCCCCCCCCCCCCCCTTCACCGCGGGCTCTATACTGAACGGGGTTTGCGTTTGTGGCCACTACTGCAACTGATAGGCACTGAGTACCGTACAGAGCTCGATTTCATGGTTGACCTTTTGGTTTAGCCACGCGCGCGTTTGATTCAGAGAGGGAACCTGCAAACGCCCGCGAGGCTCTCTTTGTTTCGGCCTGCCTATTTATTATAATACGTCGTTTCAGTGGGACGTCTACGCCAGCGTTCTGTCCTACGGCGTGGACTAATCATTGAGGCTATCCCCCTCTCACCCAGCTCAACAGAAACACGGAAGACATGCCCAGGTGGCTGACTCACGCCCCCGCGCGCTTCTTTCGTAGTTAAGCTGTTACTGCATGCGCGCGTGTGAGCGGGTTGGGTTGCCTACTCGCACGGGGCCGCAAGGATAGGCAAACCCGACCGCACGAGTGCATGCCGTAGGCTGCAGAGTTTAACTACGAAAGTGCGCGGCGTGAGTCAGCCACCTGGTAGAGTGCAGTCACACTGACGCGTCGACAAAAGGCACCGTTCTAGCCCAGTTTCCACTTGGTTCTGACCTAAAAAAACCCGTCAATATGACACGTCACCGTTTGACGTCTTCGGGTTGGAGCGGGACGCAGAAAACAAAGAAGAGGGCTTCTTGATCATAACTTCTAAATCATACCCATAAAGTATTACCCATTATGTACACGTATATTTTCGATTGTTATAGCAGTCTCAACGAATTATTTTCCTACCTATTCTCCATGGCCATCCCACACAACAGAAAACAAACTTAATTTAAAAATTATTGTCATGGTTATTTTTTTTAAGGCAAATATTCCTCATTCCGAACACGTCAATGACACGTCGTAACTGGTGCGATAGCAGTCAGAATATTTTTGGCTTCTTTTTGCCCGATCGCGACAATCGTCTCGCTTAAGCGCCAAAACGACAACACTGAAGTATAATTTAAGCATTCTCCCCAGTGCAAAATGGTAACTACTTGAAACGATCCCAAAACGACATTGAAACGATGTCGTTTTTGCTGTACTGAAAACATCGTTTCATTTCTCTTTCGATTTCGATTGGGTACCCCATTTGCACTATGGGCCCTCCGGGGCCCTCCCTCCAACTCGTGATCCCGCACGAATAATGCTACACTTAACAGTCTGAATAAACTCAAACTACACAGAGCATAGTATTAGTAAATTTCGACCACTGTAGGTAATGATTATTATCTTTTTCTTATTAATATGGTCACTTTTGCCAATAAACGGCCACGGATGGTATCTGAATTGACAAAAAGGTCTCTCTAATCCTGAAGCTAAAGCTGCATCTTTTTAAAAATTGACCAAAATTCATGATTGTGAAGCACTTCATCCCGTTAGCGACGACGCCATCCCCATACGAAAAAATCTCCCCAAAGCCAAAACAATAACAAATATCAACAATATGATAACGCAGTCACAATAATAAGTTAAACATCACAATTCGACACGGAGGCGGCGCCCCACGCCGCAACCTCTACAACGATATCGCTCGCACCGGCGCGACTCTACTTCATCACAAAACTCAATAACTTGTCGTTTTAAACGGGTTTGCAGAGCAATTACAGCGCCTTCCTCCGTTGCCGAGCTCGGCGAGAGGCAGTTCCGACTCGAGTCCAACGACGGCTTTCCTCCGGGGACTTCGGGCCGGGTTAACAACCCCTTTCTTATTGTCGTTCGAGTTTATATTCGAGTTCATTCGAATTGATCGCCGCGCGACCCACACACCTGGGGCACGCCAGGACGCCGACGACGACGACCGCGACGCCTTTTTGCACCTCAGCGCCGGCCGACGAGGAGCAGCAGGGCTACGGCGACGAGCCCCGGGCGCAGCGAGGTCGCCGACGACGACCCCGGGATCTCGTTCCACCGGTCCGGCTTCCTGCGCGGCGGGGTCCGCGTCGCGCCCGCCGCGTCCCAGTTGAGCGTGGTCTGCGTGTTGCGCTGCTCCGTGGAGGACGACGACGCCGACCCCCCGGCGGCGTCCTCGGCGCCACCACCCTTCCTGCCGCCCTTGGGAGCGGGCTTGGCCAGCGGGTCCTTGCTGTGCGCGGGCGTCTTGTTGGTGTTGCTCGAGTTGGTGTTCTTGTTCCGGTTCCGGTGCTTGCCGCTCGACTCGTGCGAGTGCCGGGGCGGCGTGGTCGTCGTCGAGGTGCTCGGGCTGGCGGGCAGGTGCAGCTCTGCGCAGACGCGAAACATAAAATCACTCAGGGTTATTGGGAAAGCCCTGAAAAGTTTCGGAAACATTCGGGAAAATTTAAGGAAAGAACAGAGAATTTTCGCGAAGAAATTGAAAATTTCCCAGACTTTGGATGTTTTTCGTTATTTTCTAGAAATTTTTGGGAATTTTTTCGGAAATTATTTTGGAAATTTTCGACCCTAAAATAACCTAAAACTAATTCTCAACAGGGCGCTAAATTAATGTAATAAATAAAAATAAAAACCCGCGAAATGAGTGTCTCGTGCCAATGGCCCCTCCCCGCTGCCTACCTTGCAGGCGGATGTTGCCCTCGGCCTTGCCCAGGACGTTGACGGAGGAGCAGACGTAGCCGCCAAAGTCCTTCTTGGAGAGCTCGCGGATGGTGAGGTTCATGAGGACGGCGTAGTCCGAGAGCTGGATCTCCTGCATGATGTACTTGTCGCCCTGGACCAGCTTGTCCATCTCGCGCGCGCCGGCCGGGCCCCCGAGGATGGCGGCTGCAGCAGAGAGGAGGAGGACGGTCAATGCAGTCATTCAAAAAATAAATAGAAAAATACTCCAACCAAAATAATACCAGTGCATATCAAATTTAAAATTCCAACCGCGCACCACACACTGGGAACAACCCCCCTATCCTCCACTAACCATATTGTTTAAATTTTTATAGGGTTGGAAGCCCTGGAAAGTTTCTGGAAAATTTCTGAAAAATTTCTGGAAAAGAAGGAAAATTTCCCAGATTTTGGAAAGTTTTCCGTTATTTTCCGTATAATTTCGGAAAGTTTTCGGAAATTTTCCGGAAAATTTGGGAAAATTGGGTATTGTCGGTATTGCGTCCGTTAACAGTGTGCTCCCCCCCCCCCCCCACTCCGACCGCGCGCTATGGGCACGAGGCAGGACCAGTGAATTACGGGGGCGCGTTTACGTCAGATTATAGAATGCCTGAGATTCTCTGGCGGCGTCGCCTCCGTCCCCAACCACCCCTATAAAAGATGTGCGAAGTCCCCCTCACCCCCCACGCCCCTTTCCATTGGGGTGGCGGGGCGGGGCGGGGCGGTCCTGCCGCATACAACCCATAGCCCGCCCGCGCGACCATACGGGGGGGTGGCCTGGCCATATAGGGGAAAGGGGGAGGGGAAGAAAGACTGGCTGAAGTGGCGGGGCGTGGCGGGCTGCGGCAGGGCCAGCAGTGCATTATACCATTTGAGAGAGCCCGCCCTGCCGCATTAGCCGTCCACTGCGCCCCGCCCCGCCCCGCCCCGCCAGCGCCCCGGACGCCCCGACACACTCGCTGGCTCGCTCACCTCCCTCTCGCCACCAGGTGTTCATGGCCTTGGGGGACGCCTCCACGTAGCACTGGATGACCACGTCGCTGTAGATGGGCGCGGCCACGAGCTGGTTCGACACCTTGATCAGCGGCTCGACTGCAAACAGAGAGGGAGTTGGTATATAAGTATTCGATCACACTGTGCCGTTGCAGAAGTTCGTCTCTACGCCGCCGTCCTAGAGTCCTCCTTCCTTGAAAAGGGCGCATCGCCCGCTCGGTGTAGTACGAGATGACGCTGTAAACGCAGTCCAGGCGGGCCTGATCCGAACCGGGCAGCGAGACTTCATTCAGTTTACGTCCAGTGGGGCTCGGGGCCGAGGTGCTCGCGCTTCAATACGACAACCACCCCCTCCTCACCTCTCTTCCGCTTGGCTTTGATGCACCGTGGATATAGGAGTTGAAAATTTTCCAAATTTTCCGGAAAATTTCCGAAAACTTTCCGAAAATATACGGAAAATAACGGTAAACTTTCAAAAATCTGTAAATTTTTTCGTTTTTCTCCGGAAATTTTCCGTCTTTTCCAGAAATTTTCCGGAAACTTTCCAGGGCTTCCAACCCTACGTGGAAAAAAAAGGGTGCATAGGAGCGAAAAGAAGTCTGTTTTTTCACAGATTCATTCGCCACAATACGGGAGCAGGACCTCTACCGTGCGCCGCAACTACGTTGAGCTCGGCGCCTGCGAGACTCGGGGTAGGCCATCCCGCAGTACACGCATGCATTGCAGGCAGGATGCTGCCTACCTACCAGGCGCTATGAGAGCGAGATGCTAAAGGCTGAACTTGACAGGTTCTCTAACGGAGAATGACTTCAGCAGTAGGTACTTTTTGAATGATCCGTAGGGTCCATGTAGTTTTCAATCTCGTTTCGAGAAGATTGCCGATTGCCGCCGATGAAAAGTAGGTAAGGGGTACGATACCGAGGGAGAAACGACTGTCAACCGGATTACGGAATATCCAGATTACCTCTGGAGTATCCTCCGGATTACGTTGATTTCTTTTAAATCAAGGATTACCCCAGATTTCCCACAAATTTCCCCGGATTACTACGATTTTTTTTTTTTGAATTTGCTTGGATTTCACCTTCCTTACCTGCCGGGAACATTGTGGCGCCGTCTTACTGTGAGTGGAGTGCCGGGCGAAGTAGTAAGGTTTCTTGCCTTCATTGTCGCCTCCGCTAGGGGGACGGGAGAAGGAGTATACCGAGTGCGGAACACGGAAAATTGACGTCGTGTTCTAGAAATAGTCGTTATGAGCGCCCCCGGGCAGGGCCGGGTGCTGTGGGTCCCTTTGTTTAGGGTTCACGGCTAAGGTGTTTTTCCTGGAATCTTCTTGCGTATCTTCCCCCAACACTTACTACTAATTAGAGGCTAGGGGGAGCTCCACTCCGTGAGAGCAGAAAGTCTTACGTCCATGTGAATAACAGTAACACATTAGAGGGAGTACGGTACATAGCGTCAGGTTTAGTAGATCGAATTTTTGACACCTTTAAACGACCCAAAAATTTTGACCCAAAAATTTAAACGGGCAAAAAAACAAAAAAACAAACTGAACCATGGGACTGAAATGTATAGTAAGTGTTCTAGAATGGCGCGATTCCGTTGGACGTAATTCCCAGAAGGAGTCAGTAAGGGTCGTGCCCGAGAACGAACCCGCCGAGGCCGTGGACGAGGGGGTGCGCGAGGCCGTGCGTGAGCCCGTCGTTTTCGAGGTCGTGTCCGGGGCCGTGCGTAAGACCGTGCATGAGGCAGTCATGCCCAAGGCCGTGCCCGAGGCCGTACCCGAGGCCGTACCCGAGGCCGTACCCGAGGCCGTACCCGAGGCCGTACCCGAGGCCGTGCCCGAGGCCGTGCCCGAGGCTGTCCCGGCCTCCCCATCACGGCCTCACCCTCACCCTCCACCAACCCTCTCGGTTTGCGCAGCGCTGGATGCCATTACTTGCAGGCCAGGCGCGGCCCCGGCGCCCCCGCCGCCGCTGCCGGGTGTGGTGCAGGCGCCCGGCGAGTAGGCAACCCGGCCGCGCGCGGGCACTGCGGGCCTGCCGACGCGCGAGTCCGCAGGCGGCGACCTGCTGGCCGGGCCACCACCTCCACCATCACGACCACCACCGCCACAACCGCCACCACCACCACCACTACCACTAGGGTTGGAAATTACCCAAATTTTCCATAAAATTTCCGAAAACTTTCTGAAAATACACAGAAAACAACGGAAAACTTTCCAAAATCTGAGAATTTTTCGTCTTTTCCAGAAATTTCCAGGGCTTTCAACCCGACCCACAACTACCAACACCACCACCGCCACCACCACTACGACCGGGCCGTTGTGCCATTCACAATAATATCACTCGTGCCATCGCCGTCACACAGTTCCACCTGTTATGTGGAGCACCCCTCACGGGCCGGCGGGCGGGGCCGGGGCGGGGCCGGG